CTTAGCTCGTGTATTAATCAAACAATCAAACTGCACTTCAGTCTGAAGGTATTTCTTGAGATGTGGAAGAAATAAGTTTTTATGTCACTTATTTTAAGGTTTTGCCTTGTATCTCATACCTCTCTGTACAAATCACATCTCATTTTTATGATATAATCCTTACAACAACTTTAACATACAAGGACTCTCAGTTCCACACTTGCACACTCCTGACCACAGAGACCAATTTGCATTATCCAGGAAGCAAATGTGATCACCATGCAGAAAGCCTTAGAGAGGCAAGTATACAGTTACCAGGAGAACCTGTAACACTTTTCTCCATTGCAGATGATATGATGGCCACAAAACTGCACCCTTTCAGGGCAGTAGAATATGAATTAGTCCCTTAAGAGAAAAACATCACTGACAAAGGAATATTTATATATTTGGTTTCTATAAAGTGTCAGAAATTTTACCCTAATTTCCCCTCATTCTGACATAGGACATGTGTCTACATAATCTATCAAACATCTTTGTTCCCACCTCCACGTGTTTAGGGCTTCAATAAGGTTGTTATCCCTGAGAATCCCTGAGAAGCAGGTTGCTTTCCTGAGCACTGCACTTTCAAAAAGCACTGGGACTATACAAGTCCTTCACCACCTCAGACTAAACTGCTGGTAGGATAAGCATTAAATTCCATTACAATTCTTATTTTCTGAATGAGGCTTAGAGACCTTTGCAGATTTGTCCGTATGAGTGAATGGAAATGGGCACTAATGTAGAAATCAGTGATATAGTTTTCTGTTTGTGGCATGCAGGCACGCTGCTATTCTCACTGCCTATTTCTCTCATTTCCAGCCTTCTCAGCACATGCTGTCCTGATACTACTACTTAAAATCAGCTCCATGCAGGAACCTCTGAAGTCCTTCGCTTGTCTGCCAGTAACCAAACACAAAGCTTACATTTCTAACAGCTCCTACCCGTTGATCCAATTGCACAAGTTTGCCACTTGCGGTGACAGCCCTGATCACCCACAGAGCTGACACAATGAGCCAGTGGCTCAGCAGCTGCACCTGGCGGGTACAGCTGAAGAGCTGAAATTATGAAATTAAGCTTGGGATGGCTGACTTGCAGAACTACATCAAGGGAGCAGAAGGACAGCTGATGACAGGAGAATAAGAGAGCATATTGCCCTCTTCATTAAACTTACTACTGTGTAAAACACTAAGCAAACCGGACATGCTAAAAATTATCCTCTTTTTGCTGTTTTAATGTTACAAGTGGGCCCTATGGTCACCTGTCATAATAAAGGATGCATTGCATTGGGGCTGTAAATTCATACTACAAAAATATTTTCCTGTCCCTTCCCTCCTGAAGAGGGAAAAACAATTTGATTAGGCTGGGGGAAAAGTGTCAAATTCCATTACAAACAACCTCCCTTAAAATTACACTGTGTATGTACAATAAAAATAAGAATTAAAAAAAAAAAAAAAAAAAGGAGTGATTTGTGTTAAGTTCTCATTGCTTCAACAGTTGCTTTCAAACCATGATGGAAAAAAAAAGTCTCAAGATCATGTACACTTTACAGAAAAGCTCTGTTCTCCATAAAGTTGCACGGTTAATTCAAAACACTTCATTCACAAGCAATACGCAACCTGAATATTTATTCATATTCTGACGAGTGAGGCTAGGGTTTCGTCTTTACTTCATTTTCTTTAGAATGGGACATAATTTCTTCTTAAAAATTTGACTGGAACCTTCAAATATCTGCAGCAAAGCTCCTTACTAATACAGATTCTGACTTATGTTTCCCAATGATAGCTGTCATGGGTTTTCCAAAAGATTAAGCCTTCAGTGCTACATTAAAAGTAGAGTAAAATGAACTAATTTAGAAGTGCAAAGTGAGAATATGGTAATTTAAAAATTTTAAAAAAGGATAATATAAATTAAAAAAATCCACTTTCCAATTTGCCACTATGACATAAGAGAATCACTCTGCTTTGTGTTTATGATAACTTTAGTGACTTTCATATCAAATCACAGTTTATCCAGAGCTGAAATATCAGGAACTGGTGGGCAGTCAAACTATGAAGTGCATAATCTTGTAACACCACCATATTGTGAAACTTAGACTGCAGGCATGGATCCAGAATACAATAATTACAGGTTTGCTTCCATCACAACCACCCTGGAAGAGACAATCTTAGTGGGAACAACGGACCGATTATGATTAAATCCTTCAGATCTTCTATTCAAGAGTGAAGAGTAAAACAATTATTTAGGAGGCTCCTCAGGATACAGGATCAAAGGGAATTTATGTGTTATAGATCCCAATTTGTTTTACAAGACACGGGGAGGCATAAACGTCTTTATTTGACAGAAGTAACTGAAACACAAAAGTTAGGTGATATATACCCCAGGTAAAATGATAGCAGAGAGAAGAAACAATTCCCCACCTCTAATACCATCTGCTCAAATAAACTCAAATCACCTCTTTGTATTTACTCAGGACAAACTGGGACCAAGAGAAAATTGCCAGAGTACCTGGCATGCTTTGCTCTGTGGTAAGTGCCCTATTCCTGCAGGGCAGCCTGTGCAATTATTGCTTAAGAGTTGCTTTTGTGCTCAGGGTTGACATTTGCAAGAAAAGTCACAGCTGCCAAAGGAAGAGTAATGATGCAGCCTTGTGGTAAACATAATGAACCAAAAAAAAAAAAAAAAAAAAAAAAAAAAGGAGAAGGGGAAGAATAGCTCCTCAAGAGCACCACTGGAAAACCTGGCCATTTCTTCCAGATGTGCAGTTTCCCTGAATTTCAGAGAGTATTCATTATGAATATTTACCTGGCAAGTTCTGACATTTTTCTTTAAGATCTATGTTGCTTGAAAATATTATTGACTTTTTTTTTTTTTTTCCTCAAAGTAAAATATTGATTTTCAGGTAAACTTGCTTACGTCAAGGCTAGAAAGGAAAAGGTGAGTTACAGATACACCTTAGGTCCTTCTTCCTTTTTTCTTTCTTTCTTTCTTTTTTTTTGGTATAAAGTATAATACTAAAACAGTCTTTTTAGGTCAGGCTATTCTTCCATTTTTCTCTGACTAAAAATTAGACAAATTTTGTCAGCCAGCAGAAAAATGGAAGAATGTTTCTGCTTTGTCTGTTAAAAGGCGAAACATTTCACTGAGGCATGCCAAATATTATAGACTCCAATGCAATCTTCCTGAGAGGTTTGGCCTACGCAGGTTAAATTCTATAATCACACACTTCTGCGAAATGATGTCTTTTGCTCCTCCTTTTCCTAGAGCTGCTATATAAAACTATATTTTACTTTTTGCAAAAACAAGAGCAGGAAATTTATTTCATGAGGGAGGATATTTGGCTAGATATTTGAGCACAGGAAGGAGTCCCATTGAGTATTTTATTTAGCAATGATTTTCCTTTTTGGCAGTCTATGAGACACAACCTATTCCATTATACTGAGAGCCCTTTAAGATAACCCATTAACAAAACCCACATTCACACACACACTTTTATACATACACACACTTTGTATATACTGAGTAGTTCATTTGCTTTCACTTGTATCTTTCTATATTACAACCTTGACCTATCAAGGGAACCCAGGCCTGTCATCAAATCCTAGTCTATTCAAAGTGTATAATTCAGTGACTGGCAAATAATAATAAGGACTACCATTCTGGATAGATTAGGGAGATGCTGTGTGTGTTGTAGAACATCAGGTTCTTAACCCTAGGTTACTGCTCCACTAGGTGACTCCTCAAGTTCTCAGTTGAAAAGTAACCAGTATATCTTACCACGTGACACTACTGAAAATAACTGAGACTTCATGCCAGATTAGATGCTAACATTGGACAGTCTCTTCAAAGCTCATCAAGATGAGATGATCATCATCATCTCTTCAAGATGATTACAGAAGAAACAGGTATTTTTTGAGCCAAGACAAAAAAATTTTGAAGAAAACAACAAGAACACAATGAAAGAAAATGTTCAACAAAAGTTGATAAATATTTTCATACATAGGACTTCTGCTGATGATGATCCCCTTTCCAGTTTTGTATATACCAATGTTCAAACCCAACAGAACACTAGCATGCAGCTACATACTTTCAGAGAAGATAACGACAGTGCTGCTTAAGTGGATGACAGTGAGAAGTTAGGTCCGTGGTTGGAGTACGTTTGAAAGCAGACAGATAATAGAAAAGAATAGCAGTAAATTGTAATATAAGTTCTAGCAATAGCCTTGTCAGATTCAGGCCATTTTCTTTTATTTCAGTATGGTGTTAAAACTCCCTTTAGCAAGAATATAAACATGAAATTTTAAGTCATAGTTGCTGAGCTTTTGCATCCTGATCAGAGACAGCTAGCAAGGCTCCCAAAGGTCAGAATCCATGTATGATAAGAGCTGAGGGAAATAAAAAGTTTCTGTTCATTTATGTTTCTTTCAAGCAGAATGGAGCTTTTTTTCCCAGCACGACTTGGTGGAAACTTAATCTGTCTTGATTTGATTACTACTTTGATTTCACTATGGATGGGATCCTCCTGTCAGAAAAGTCAAAAGAAATTTCCACTGTGACAGTAATGGGCTTTATCCTGTTCATTTGAGATCATTCCTTTGAGTCAGGGGGTGTTCCACTTTTTGTTAAACAAAATTAACACTGTCTTTTTTTTTTTTTTAATACATGTTCCACAGAATAGTTTCAGTCTCATTGATTCAAACTGCTAAGTACAGACTTGCTTGCAAAAACAGCATTTATCCAACAGACGGGAAAAGTATTTAATTTTCTTCTAATCAAAATTAATAAAGATTCTGATCATTTCATTGAAACAACAGAGACAATGGACTCATTTTCCTTCCTTTTTTTTTTTTCTTTTCTCAAACTACTCCTCCAACGCGCACACACACGTATTAATTCTAATAGGAATTTAGGAATTTCATTCTTGAAATATGTAACTGACAACCTTCAATGGCAGTAATAGTCCAGGATTAGTACTGCAGTCTTACCTTTGATGTCTTGTCTCTTCTTCAGAACCATCAGCATACGTGGCTTGTACTGTACTGGCCAACAACTTGTGTCACCAACTGCACTCTGCAAAAATAAAAAACATTAAAAAAAAAAAAACTTCAGAGCTGTGATAATACACTTTTCTCTTCCAACACCTTCCCAAACTCTGTAATAGCATTGCCATTCTACCAATTAGAAGTTTTACTATTTCATGATTAAACACAAGGTGATAGATAAGCAGGAAAAAAAAAAAATAAATCAAATTTCTCCTTAGCCTGTAAGATCTAGTGTTTTAGGTGCCATCATATAGTACTTGCTTATATAATCTAATGATTGCTGAGGTCAAAATTTCTGCATTGTAACACAAATTGCAATTCTCTCAGCCACCTGGAGTTTGTTTGCTCTTTCCTTCTGCTAATAGCTTGCCAGTTCAGTCTTGTGTTTTTGAATTTCTCAAATCCCACAGCTGCAGCTTCCAAATTCAAAATTCATTTTGACCTACAATGGTAGCATTTCAATTGTATGGCCTCATTAACACACTTTTGAAGTTGAAAATCACAGCTGTGACCATAAAGAAAACAAAGGACAACAGGAGGTTATAATCCAAGAGAAAGAATATTCAGAACACTACCTTGCACTGAACAAATGCCTGGCTGCAAAGCACCTGAGAATATTTCCCACCAAAAAAATCCATCTTTCTCCTATGGAAAATTGTTATAACTGTTATGTTGAGGGAGTAACAAGAGTAGACATTTTTTGGTACAATGAACAAGTGTAAGGGAGATATTTATTGTAGATTAAAGCCCCCAGGTATCCTCCAACTCCAGAACTGCATAAGTAATGGTGTGGTAGGATGAGTAAACACACCAGATATATGGCAGACCTACTTCTGTCTGATCTTTATTTTAGAGCAGTTTGTATTTTCCAAGATATGCTGTATATCAGGTTATCAAAGGATATTTTTATTAGTTTCTAAATTTCAGCCTTACGTTACTATTCCTTACATTAAATCCAGCATGTGTTTTTACTCAGAACATCAGCCTTCATCTATATTCTGTTTATGTTCTGACAAGACTAGGGATATTGCTTTCTCTTACTTTTGTGTTTGATTATTAGACTTACATGACTTACACTGATATTTATCAGCAAAGCCAAAGAAGCCACTCTGCCTTTTGTTAGGCATCTGCATTACTGTTTTATGTACTGGCTTACAGGTAATAGAATTACCTTAGGACGCCAGCACAATGTTCACTGTATTTGATCAAATTTGTTTGCAAATGGAAATATTTCATTCAAGCTGCATTAAAATAAATCACTTCCAGAGATCTGCAGATAGCGTATTACACGAGGAAGTTTTATGTATATATTAATAGTTACCCAGTTCTTTCATTTGACTTAATACTTTCCAATTAAGCTCGTGCCTCTTCCTTATCATTAACTGACACCATGACCACCCCTGAATTCCCCTTCCCCCTCAAAAAATTAAAATAAAAAATGAACCAACAAACAGAAATGAACAATGAAAATAGATTACAGAAAAGACTGAGCATTTTCAGGAAATATCACCATTGGCTTTTGTTTTCCTTTCCAGACCAATGGTATCTCACACTTCACATCTTCTTCCCAACTAAGCTTTACAATAGCTACTTCAGTGGAAGTCAAATTAAGTGATTAGTGCTGTTCTACCTCCACAAAGTAGATCAAAAATATGAATAATGAAAACTGTTGTTTCTAGAGAACTGTGAGGTTTCTACCAAGGATGAGCAGTGCCTGAAACAGATATGCAGGAAGTTATTCTACACTTGCTCATTCATTTGGAAAATATTAATGAAATTAATTTGAAAACAGTTTTTAAAACAGAAAAAAAAAAAAAAAAAAGTTTATTTTCTTTTAGTCTGGAAGCAACTGGCAGCACAGTGTATCATCTATACTAGTTGTAACACCTGGCAGTATCTCCTAAAGCTATAAAAGAGAGCTGTTTGTATGATGGGGAAAGGAGGCAATTTACTGAAATTAGGTAATTCACCACTTGGGAAAAAGTGCTCTGTGCTCTCCTTGGAAAACCCACAGTCTCTCTAAGGAAAGGTAAGGTCATTCTTTGCCTTGTGTTGCTCATTAGCCAAATTGCAGACACAGTTATTCATTTGGTGAAATTTAAGAACAGCTAAACTAGATCTCACAGCTCTGGGCTGTATCTTCTAGTGTGCTGTTTCTGGCTGTAATTAACACTAGGCCTTTCAAAGAGAGGTAGGAGAGCCCCAACTGACAATGTGGTGGATGATGTGTTAGAGCCCTGCCCATAAAGTAGGATCTTCTCCAGATCAGTAGCATGAGGGTTTCACAACTAGTGACAAACCTTGATCTAAGTAAGTGGAAAAACAATTTTTGTTGTTTTCTTGCATTATGTTTTCTGCCAAAGCTGATTTTTTTTCAGGAAAATTTGCTGTTTTAAAGTTTCAGTGGTATATGAAGAGCTATTTACAATAGTTTCCTTCTCAGAGATTGCTTCTGAACTCCATCTGCTTCTCTTCAATCATGGCTTCTTTCCAGCAGGTACAGCCCCAGTCTGCAGAGCTGCCCTCTCCCTTCTCTCCCAACTCCATGCTAAACCAGGTGGTGTGGGTGGGCCCACAGTGTGGGACTGTAGCCAAGGAAGCTCTCCCCCCCCGCCTCCCCATTTTTATTTTTATTTTTCCTGAGGACTGTGCCATGCCAAAACATCTCTGTGGATTAAGAAAGAGCAGTACATCTGGGCAATAGCTAGGTATGCTGCCAGCACTGAGGACAAGAGAGGGACAGAGGAGACTTACTTGGGAAGCTTAAAACCATCCAAGCTTTGCCAAAGAAATATAAGTTCACTTTTGAGCTCCAGCTTTCTGTTATTGACATCACCAACATGTACTTTTATTTGACCTAGATGTTTCCAGCACTTCTCAGCTTCCTTTCAGACTCTAATTTTTAAATAATGTCCCTGAATATCATGAATTTTCTGGCCAGGACAAGTCTGTCTTTTATTTTCATTTTAAGAAGTCCAGCTCTGTTCTACAAATGTTCTTCTTCCTACTTCACTCTAAATATAAAACTCGAATTAATTCTGAAAAAATTACAGACCTTTTCTTTTTAGCAGCCTGCTGCATTACCATAATTCTTACATTTTTCTGACTTAATGGTAACAGCAAGTACTACAACTGCATGATCTTCCCAAGAAGCAAAATCTGTTAAGTGCTAATTTATTGGTTAGCCATCACTAACACCTTTACTAGAGAGGCAAAGTCAATACCAGTTCTCACGATGATCACTACTTCCATGATCAGTTATGTCCCTGTGCCAACCTCCTGACTGAATTAAAAGGCAATGTGAAGACAAGCGCAGAGCAGTGGATGGTACATTTTCACTCATGGCATGAAGCTTTCAAATATTATCAGCTTAGTATCACAAACAATGTAATTTGATTTGCAACAGAAAAAGCATTCTTACATGGAAGCTTTGCATTTATTATAATTGATTTTACTGACAACCTTGCTGAAACCATGCTCCTTAGGTGTAGAAAACCAAAATAACTGTCATGACACAGTACTGGACAGAAATATTTTTATGTTTTAAATAAAAATAGTTTGATTGCAAAATGTCCACCATGTAGAGTACCATATATATATGTGTGTGTGTGTGTAATATGTATCTGTGTGTGTATACATATATATATATACACACACACATACCAAACATGGAATCCACTCAAAATTATGATTCTTAAGTCTTTCTTCCACATTAAGCATAATTCCTTCTGTACCTTGGTCTGAGTTTAAGCTTTATATTCACATTTTATAACCATATACAGCCAGTTTAGATATTCTCTATCCTGTGGCATACCATTTGACTTTTCAGTGCCAGCATAAATTAACATCTTTTGGAAGACTTAAAAATCTAAACTCTCTCATAACTCAAGTATTTTCAACATTCACCTGCAGTTCATTTAAGTTTGGAGGGTGCAACAGATTCTGACAGAGAGATGCTAGCAGCTCTCTAAAAGGCAAGCAAAATGAGTATCATTTATTCCCCTTAAGACTACGGCAAAACCTAAATGCTTCCACTTAGAAGCAAAATGATCTGGTCTGAATTTTAAGAACTCCAATTTACCTTTGCTATGCTTCATGCCTGTACAACTCCAGACTTATGGATGAAACTAGACTGAAACTTAATCCCAAGGGTTTACTTCCATCTCCTCCCAAGCATATGAGTCCTTGAATGCCTCACTCCCTCAATCAGACTGAATTTACCTTTTTAGCCAAGTGGGAATGATAGACCCTAAGCTCCCAATCTTTAGACAGAATGACTAAACCATCTCCAGTTATATATAACAAGGGGAAAAAATTTAAGGCTTCACAGATTAGTGAGCTTAACTTGACAATTCCCATAAGAACTACTTTGTATATAAATTCCATATTTTAAGTGTTGGATATCTTAATGTGTCTCCTGGTATTTGACCTCCTTCTTCAGAAATAAATGATGTGTAATTCATGAAGAGAACCAGGTGCAGTTCTACTCAGTCTTATTCTCTGTAAATTTTTAAAGCCTGAGGGTCTGGCAAACTCCATCACAAAGTGTTTCAAGAGCTGACACCTTTAAAACTTTGTCACAGATGGACACAGTACAAAGAAGAAGACAAGAGGCTAAAGGTACCATCTATCTACAAAACTGGTGAAGTGAAGCACTGGAATAGGTGTCTTGAAAAGAGTACATAGTAGCCACTTTGGAGGTCTTCGGGCATAGATTTATGATCTCTACTAATATATAGAATTCTACTGAGACTTTCAGCAAAAGTTGAAGCGTACAATGTGTCTCCCTCCCATTTAGATTTCCTGATGATCTCTAATAAATATAGTGTGATCGCACATTGCCATCTTTCTCCCAGAAACAATGTCTAGACCCTCTGACAAATGGACTATCACATTACTCAATTAAGATACAGAAGTCACCATCTTCTACTCAGCTAATTTTTTATGGCATGTAGGTATTTAATACCTTTTAGAGCATTCAACAGCTTAAGCTTACCAGAATTCTGCCAGATATTAGAATATTTCTGA